CAAGCCTACTAAAAAATTAGTTTCAGTTTTCATGTTTTTATAGACAATGACATTTAAATGAATAATAAAACATTTGACCTGAAAATTGTCCTTATCCTGACTGACATTACAGGCCCGTAGCCAGCAATTTCAGAAGGGGGGTTCGTTTTCTGAAAAAGTGGACCTTTTACTATAAAATCCTCAAGTACATATATCAAATTTTACCCAGAGTGGACCTTTTCCCAGCAAAAAAGGTGGTTCTTTCAAACCCCCCGACCCCCCCTGGCTACGGGCCAGCATTATTTAATTCTGAAAAGATACAAAAAATAGAGAAAGGGAAAAAATGACTTACCTTTTTAATAAACCCATTTTGATGGACATTTCCCATCTCAATGCTGCGGGTGGTGTGGTAGCTGGTCTTGGTCCTGTTTTTAGGAAAAATCATCAAAACTAAGGTCAGCATTACACATACCTACTGAGAGTCAAAATTTTAAGGATACAGATATGTCAGTGACCACAAACCCTTCATCAGCATCTTAAAATTGTCTCAATAAGTGCACAGAAATTGTGAATTTCCCTACTTTAATATATATTTACTGTCCAATCCGTCATATTGCTCAATATCTAACCAAAATTCTAAAAACATTAAATCTGCATTAAATCGAAGAATACATTGTGTAACAAAGGCAGTCAACCACCCCTAAATTGGATTAGTTCCCTTTTTACCATGATACTGGCTTCCATGCATCATAAAAACAGCCAATAATGTATACAAAGAAAAATCAAATACAACATACTTTCTAAACTGTGCAGCCTCTATACATCTATGTTTGACTTCACAACATAAATAGGAATTATGAAGTAATCAATAGATTTCTTTAACAAAAATAATATGTTGTCTGTTCAAAGGCTTCAAAGGATTGACTTGGAGTAGTAAACCTTTCAAGCTTAAGAGTTTCCTAATTATGAATATCATGTATTCTTTGTTAAAACATATTTCTAGGTAATTTAAACATCAATAAATTTCACACCTTGGTCTGGTTCAAATGGAATAAAGGACTAAAGGACTAGTTCATATGCTTTCAACTATGTCTACATAGCCATGGGATGGTTTTACACAGAACTTCAGACCAAAATTTGGTTTGGAAATCAAGACCAATTTTTTTTCTGCTACTTCAATTCTTAATCAAAATAAAGTCCTGGTAATCCACTAAAATAAAATAATTATTGGTCAAAACTTTGACCCTTTCTTTCATTCCAAAAGACAAGTGCAATACTTCATTTAAGTACACCACAACCGGTTATTCTTGGGTCAAAGTAGAGCAAAGATTGTTTAAATTTCTTTTGTGAAAATGACCCTAGCTTACATTGACTACTGGGAGTGGTGTTCAGGTGTCAAATGAATTGATATTAAATAAATTAATACAGTTAAATTCTGTAAACTCTAAACAAGTTATAAAAGTGCCAAGGTGTTAGAGTGTGGTTCCAAACTGAAACCTCACAGTACTTTTATAACTTTAAATCCAGAGTTTATAAAATTTACCACTGTTATCCATAAATTTACCTGGATAGATTCATTTTCATGAGTCTGTATTGATTATACAATTCTATAAATGTAATGCTCACCCCGTTCTCTGAGACCTCCAATAAAATAAGAACCCCAATACCAAGAGAAGCACAACACATACAGATACAATGATGATGATGATGAGATACAGCTGCGGGAGAGCCTGGCCCTGTCGTGCTCCCGTGTCTGGGGACAGAACAGATAAAACAAAACATGCATTTCATGTGTGTTAAAAAAGCAAACTGAAGAATTGCATCAGAACTAATGGAATAATTTATGACAGAACTCATGCATCTGTCATGGCTTGTGATTCACAGGAAACTAGAGAGCAAGGATTATTATACTTTCATTCATCACGTTTTTTTTTTTTTTAATCAATAATGAATATAAATATAATCAGGATATGGGATTTTAAGTTTAATGTGTGGATCCTGATATCCAGCGGCCGATTTCATAAAGGAGGTTTAAAGTTAAACCTGGTTTAAAGTGAGTTTACACCAGGTTTAGGGATTGCCTGCATTTCATAAAGGAGGTTTTAGTATTGGACCAGTGGTCTAGTAAAACCTGGCTTAACATCATTCTAAACCTGGTCTAGACAGGTTTGCGTTTCATAATTGAGGTCTAAGTTTTTGATACCCGGATTATGGACTCAGACCAAGTTTAAAAATAAACCTGGTCAGACCCAGGTTTAACTCTGTAGCTTGGAAAAAAAGATCTATCACTGCTTGATTTTCTTGACTTAATTCAACCTCTTTTGGCCCCCTCCAGTCTTTTATGCAGCTTTTTTTAACATTTGCAAATTCTTTCTTAGCTTTTTTTTTTCGCTCGTTTCCAGAAGTCTTTCACCTGCCTTTCAGTTCTTTTTCAGGCTTGTGTAAAATGTGGTGCCAATCTTGTTAGAATTTCTTTCCACGCCTCATTTTCTCTTTAACTTGATGTGACATCATTTTTCTTTGATTCAATGATGTTGGACTTCTCCTTTATTAGTTCTGAGATGTGTCCCTTCTCTTCAGCAGAAATATTCTCCGCTCTCTTTCGAGTCATTTTCACGTGCTCTTTACTTCCAAAGTTTTTTTCATATGAGCTACACAGATTATCTGCTTCAACGCTAGTGTGTGTCATCTATTCATTTACGCCTACCTGATTGACACAGTTCAGTGATTTCTTTGTCTATGTAATCCTGTTACATTCAACAGGAGGTCAAGGACAAGTTAAAACTGGTTTAGCTAAACCTGGTTTTCTGGCTTTCCTACACTGTTAGTGAAATGCAATTTAGGTCTTGAGTTAGACCAGGTTTTACTAGACTAGGTTTTAGCCTTAAACTGGGTTTAGTTAAACCTCCTTTATGAAATCGGCCGCAGGTGTTTTTATACCAGGAATCAATTTTCCATTTGGGAATATTATAAAGAATTCTGACAATTTTTTCTTATTGTGATATTTCAACATGCCTCATTCAAAGAATGGGAAAATACTGCATATACCATCAATCCCTTACCCACTTATAGACTAAAACCAGATATTTGTGAAATCTGCATGCAGCAAATGAGTATATAAAAAATCAATTTTAAACTGGCAAATAACATCAAGCGTAACAAAAATCAAAATTGATAAAACTTCAAAAGGAGAAATATATACTTCATATCATTGAAAGCATTTACAAGTATAAAACAAGTAATGTACCCTATTTAACACAATATCATTATGTAATATGGATTGACAGATTATAATATCTAAATTTTAATAAAATTTTATTGTAGAAACTGTATTATTGACTTTCAGCCCATTGACGGTTGCAGTGATTAGATAAAAACAAGTTATTCAAAAAGAAAAAGAAAATCTATACACATATTATTCAAAGTAATTTCACAATTAAGAAGAAAAGAACACACACTATACCCTCACTTACCTGAACATATATATCCCAGCTGATCCCCACTTAGTGACAATACTTGACTATCTAATGGACAAGAATCTATACACTGACTAGTAGTCCTGACTATGAAATCAACACATCTGAAATAGACCAAATACAATACTGCAAATATAAATGCATTCAGTCATACAAAGATTTCAAAAAGGGCCCCATCTAAAAGAAAGTTAAACTTCCTTTTTGGCCAGACAAAATTGATAAGTTGTTTAACAAGCGGCAACTCTGAAAACAAGGTAGGTTGACAAAATGCATTTTTTAACACTTTGTGATGTTGAACAAGCTAAATTTTAGGCTCATTAATTAATTAGCTTTACAGCAAGTTTACAAATTGAACTCCAAAATGTTTCTTTCTGGCACTGCATTACCCTACAGTGATTTTTTTAATTGATCAACACAGGGATGATATACAATTTCCAAACAGTGAAAACCTCTATGTGCCAGCACAGTACCAGGAAGTAGCACTCAGTGATATGTCGCTGAATTATCATGGATGTTAAAGGGTAATTAAAGTTAAAAGTTCAGGACATTTTTAACACTTCAGGTAATGTACAACATTCAAAGCTTCTGTCAAAAAATGTCTGTTGGCTATCTTAAGCAAGGGTTTCTCCAGGATTAGGGGTGCAGGGAGTCAATAATGTGAATCTTAAATTTGGTCACCAATCTGTGGGGAGTCCAACCCAAACAAGTCCCCAAAATATGCCATGAGCAGGGGAGGGAGATAAATTTTAAAAATATAAAAATTAAATAAAAATTACTAAAATTAATAATATATATTATAAATAATAAATATTACTTATGTTACGTTTATAATATTTTACTTTAATAACAATAAATATTCTTTTCGGAATTTTATATATATATATATATATTTTTTTTTTTCTTTTTTTTTTAACTTAATTAAATCAGACATTTTTAAATTTCCCATTTTTAGCACATTTCAAACAAAAATTTCCCTTACATCAATATCACTCTTGATCAGGTACAAATCAGCAATGCAATTGAAGTAATTCCTGCACTTTATTTTGAACTTTGAATAACATAGTCCTACAGCCATTAAGTAAAACAGCTTACAAAGTTTTGGGTTACATATTTGCAAAAAACAACATTTCACCTACTAGATCTATCATTCCCAAAAGTTCCCAAGTTTCTAATTTAAATGGTCTTTGAGGAGATGAAATAAATTATACTAGATTGAAAAGCACTATGCTGTCTTGACAACAAACCAGTTTTAACCAGTCTAGTTGTTGCAGTACTGTAGCAGTTGTCTGACTGCTACAAAGCTGCCAACATATCTTATGGTTTCTAATGTGGTAGAAGTCTGTACTTTTTGTATGAGGGATTTTTATCTAATTAATATTCAGGTCATACTACAATGGATTTTTATTCAACAAGGACACAGTATACGAGCTGGGTAAATCAAATGCTTCTTGATAATTTGCTAGGCTCTCCACAGACTGTTCTGATGAACCAACCCGGCATTTCCTACAAATCTATAAGCCGTCCAGCCGTCTTTGGAAATATAAGCCAACTTTTGATACCAGTGGCTGTCCAAATGACAACTGGGTGGCGCTTTGGGGGAAGCCTTAATCTTGACTCTTTCAATACAAAAATTTAACATACATGTTGACAATAGATAAAATGCTTGTCTTACCTTCTACACGTCTGGTTTGTATCACATTCTATGCACCTTGCATCACCACAAGAGGCTGTAAAGTAAAACAAAACATACCATTGACCATTTGAAGAACCATTCATGTTGTCTAGTCTAATTTGAAAATATATGATAAAGTGTTCTATTCTTGACAATTCCTTAAAATTTCAAACAAACAAGGATATTGTGAGTAGCCATCTTCTTGGTATTTGCCCCTACCCCCTTCCTCCCTGCTCTCTTTCTTTTCAAAAAGGAAAAAGGGAAGATTGGACCCCTCCACCTCCCAAACAAGTAGGGAATTGGGGGATTTGGGAAGGGAGAGATCCCCCCTCTCCGCCTTGAAGTCCTCCATCTACCAGTGCTGTGCAATCAATAAGGTGTACACATTGACCTTAAATCTGAATAAATGGTTGTCCTCTTAAATCAACAGTTCAGCAGACAGTTTCAGGTAAAAAAATGACAAATGCTTTTATACCAATTGCTATTTCATTTTTGTTGACTACTGTTAATCTCATCCCAAATTGTAGTCTACCAAATTTTTTATCCTAATTTCTTTTGAGAAATTATTACCTGCAGGCCTTCAAGATTATAATCATTAACCATAGCCTGAATTTCTATATAATGCACATGTACAGCATTATACAGGATTCAGTGAATCTCTTAACTTACGGTCTGTACAATCTCTTCCATTTGAAGCTGTTTGGAAGTTCTGAATACATTGGCACTGGTTGCTGACACATTCATTATTCCATCCACAGTCATATTTTACATTACAGACTTTACCTAAACAAGAATTAAGAATATGTTTTTACATTGGTAAAATGACACATATTCCAATTTTCAAAAGACTTAAAATTATCGTATATATTTCAAAATAAAAACAATCAAAACTTTCATAAACACAATAAATTATCACAATATTCTACATATGTTTTAATATATGTCTTTATTTGTTTGTTCATGTGAAGTTTGTGCATGTACTGATTTTCAATAAATTTAAAAAGTAGCTTAACAGCTTTGTAATTAAGGTGTGTTTAGCTGACAAAAATAAACTACCATCAGAGTAATCAATATTGAACATCTGACAAGGTTATATACCATATTCAACATACATGTACACTTCTAAAATACCTCATCAAAAAAGCACTTGATATTAATACCTAAACAGAATAAGCAGATTGAATCAAAATCAAATTTACCTATCACAGTTGGATTATAAAATATAAAGAGTAATAAAATGCTGGAAGACAGCAGTTCTGCAGGATACCCCATGTTGACATACTCTCAGTATTCACCACTGCAGAAATAAAATCCTATGGATTTAGAAGTCCACTTCTGCAGAACAACACCTTTTTAAATCCCTATCTTAATTGTTATTGCCTCTGTATGTTAGCCCTTTGGTGTGATGTGGGCACTAGTTGAACAAAGTGTATGGTTCAACATTTATCTTTGTATGTCTTTCTATGGACTGGTTCTGAAAAGGACAAATTTACTCATTTAATATCTGAAAAGAATACAAATCATTTATGTCCAACCTTGATTAACCGTTTCCTGGTCAGTAAGCCTTGAAAGGCCCAATTGGGGAGGGGGGGGGTCATGGTCAGAAGTCCCAAAAAGGTCTGTGAAAATTAAGTCATTAAGGTACATTTAAATATTTATAATTTTTTACAGATTATCTCAAAATTTATCAATTTAATGTCTTAAAATTATCGTAGATATTTCAAATTAGAATTAATAGGATTCCCCAGGTGATGACTTGACCAAATTTTGTGACCAGGAAAGGGAAAACTGTAAATGACATATACAATGTACATGTACATGTCATGTGCAAATCAATTGCTACCGGTTGTGGTCAAATGAGCAAGATCTAGTTAAGTTGGCATATTTATTACCAACCAAAACTTAAAAACAATTTGATACTTCTTTTTAATCAACAATAAGCATATGTAAGCTTTCAGTTTCAATGACCACCATAGAAATATACACGACATTGTGTGAAACATAAACTGTCACCCTCAATAGTCAACCAAACATTATCCCATATCAAAGTTACAAACATCTTTACAATCCAAATACAAGCAGTTATTAAGAGCAAATAAAACTTACATTACAGCAATTATTAAGCACTGCATGTCAATTACTTTTCACCGCATTCGACGCTTTATCAATGTTAATTGCAATTATGTCTTACCTGTGTTCGGGTGTAAACAAGCTACTGTTCCTTTGAACATCCGGGTGTTTTAAGCTGTTCTGTTTATCAACATGCCCCTTGATTTCTTAAAATTTCCATACAATTTTTATGAATTACATCGATTTTTGTTCTTTTTTTCGGGTTCGTTATATTCAGAAATTTATTCAGAACCTGGGTGTCTTGGTCTCGAATCCTCTGACAGCAAGTAAAGCAAAGTTCTTACCAAAGCGGAAGTTTGTTGTTAAAACCCCCTCTTTTTCAAGCAAATCTGTAGTCGCCATATTGAACAAGGGCGATAAGTATTTCTGCTGCTTTACAAGATTTTACAGAAAAGTTATACAATACATTTCGCCGGTGAGTATATCCAGTATTAACTTTTAATGAGATGTAGGTCCAGTGTAAACAGAAACAGATAAACGTATGAAAAAAGACTTATTGAGAAGCGATGAACTTCGCATAATCTTGACACAGTCACATTTCCTGGTCTTGGCAATTATTTTTAAAATGACAGTGCAATTTCATTTTGCCAGTAACTAACTAACTAACTAACTAACTAACTAACTAACTCTCTCTCTCTCTCTATCTCTCTCTCTCTCTCTCTCACACACACACACACAC